CTACCACTACCACTACCACTACCACTACTACTACTACTACTACTACTACTACTACTACTACTACTACTACTACTAACTACTAGCTACTAACTACTAACTACTAACTACTAACTACTAACTACTAACTACTAACTACTAACTACTACCTACTACCTACTACCTACTACTACTACTACTACTACTACTACTACTACTACTACTACTACTACCTACTACCTACTACCTACTACCTACTACCTACTACCTACTACCTACTACCTACTACCTACTACCTACTACTTACTACCTACTACCTACTACCTACTACCTACTACCTACTACCTACTACTACTACTACTACTACTACTAGCTCTATCGCTCACTGGGTTTTCTCGCTTAAGCTGGATTTCCCTCTCAAGGATGGTTTTCCTCGACTTCTTACTCTGCAAAATTGATCCCTACTGCGAGTTCCTGCGGTGTCTTCGCATGTCCGCCACGCGGAACCGCACAGACATGTTGGTTTGTGAAGCTTTTGGATTTGCATTCGGAGAAGGCCCAGTTGATGTGGGTTCGTTCTCGATCACGAAGCCTCAATGCCTCAATGCCCAGAAAATGATATTAATATATATATATATATATTTATTTATTTTTTTAAAAAAAAATATGTTTTAGGATTATTTTGTGTTTCTCGTGGCTTTTGTGGCTTCCGTGCCTTTTGTGGCTAGTGTGGCTTTTGGCTTTGGTGGCTTCTGTGGCTTTTGGCTTTCGTGGCTTTCGTGGCTTTTGGCTTTCTTGGCTTTCGTGGCTTTCGTGGCTTTTGGCTTTGGTGGCTTTCGTGGCTTCCGTGGCTTCTGTTGCTTTTGTGGCGTTTGGCTTTCGTTGCTTTCGTGGCTTCTGGCTGTTTGCTGCTAGCCCATCTTTGGAGGAATGTGAAGTCCGAGGCACAGCTACCAGATGTAAGACGGTCTTGTTTTCTTCCCAGACGATGCCTTTGGTGGCTTTTGGCTTTTGGTGGCTTTTCGCTTTTGGTGGCTTTTGATGACTTTGGCTTTCGGTAGTTTTTGGCCTTTTCATGGCTTCTGCTGGCTTCTGTTGGCTTTTCGTGTCTTCATTCACTGATATGGTGTAAATATGCCTGGCTGTTTGCCAGCTACGGCAGCTCCCAAATCTGTCTACCTATCCATCTATCTGTCTATATCTATCTTTCTTTCTATCTGTTTGTCCATCCATCTATCTATCTTTATTTCTTTCTTTCTGTTTTTCTTTCTTTCTTTCTCTTTGGCAGCTGTTCTCTTTTATTTATCTTTTTGCTTTTGCTTTTCCATTTGTTTGCTTTGCAGAGAAGAAACCAAACAAGGAAGCAAGCAAGCAAGCAAGCACGAGCTGCTCACCTTAGGATCTAGTGTGCTGCTGGGGGGAGCGCTGCGCCCCCCCCAACCCCCCCGCACCACGAAATCTGCACTTCATCTCCGACACCTGCGCCTGCCACGAAATCAATATGTTGACGTGAATTCCCCGGCGCAACAAATTTCTAACCAAGCAAATATGCCTCCTGCGCTAGTTCTCTTTCTCTTTGCTGTTTCTCTGCTAACTGCACCAAACTGTTGCGATAGGTAGAAATTTCTCTGACACCTACACTGTTCCAATGTGTTTTGCCAGCTGCGACAGCTCCGAAATCTGTCTGCCTATCCATCTGTCTGTCTCTATCTTTCTATCTATATCTATCTATCGATCTATCTATCTGTCTATTTGTCTGTCTGTTTGTTTATCGATCTATCTATCTCTCGATCTATCTATCTGTCTGTCTGTTTGTCTGTCTGTCTGTCTTTCTTTCGTTCTTTCCTATCTATCTATCTTTCTTTCTTTCCTTCCTATCTACCTACAGTATCTATCTGTCTATCTATCTACCTACGCCTGCCACGAAATCTGCACTCCGAGGCCCACAAAGTCCTGCACCTGCCACGAAATCTGCACTTCAACATCCACAAAGTCCTGCACCTGCCACGAAAACTGCACTTCAACATCCACAAAGTCCTGCACTTGCCACAAAATCTGCACTTCAAGGTCCACAAAGTACTGCGCCTGCCACGAAACACGAAAACAAAACAAACAAACGCAATAAAAATTTCTAAATTAAATCCGAGCCCAGGAAGATAGGCGTCTCCGTGCTTCGCAAGAGATCAGAGTGTTGTTGTTGCTGGTGGTGATGATGGTGGTTGTAATTTATAAGTTTTCTTTGTAGTTGTCATGCAGTAGTGGAAGCAGTAGCCATTCTTGTGGTTGCTGCAAAGTCGTAACTAGTTGCTGCATAGTCGTCGTCGCTGTAACCTCACAGTTATTGCAGCAGAAACAAGACTGCTTAATCCGTTCCACCTATATTCCCCCGCCAAAGACTCAGGTGCGTTTTTTAAAGTGGGGGGGGCCCGCAAAGATGGTACACCTGGGAAGAGTTTCATAGCCGAAAGCCGAAAGTCGTCCAGAAAAAGTTAATATATACATACAATCATGTATTAAACGCGTATCAATATTGCAAAAAAGAACTTCCAGAATACAAAACACATAAGCCTTTTTCATTAGACTCACAACTCACAACATCTCACAACTAAAACTTTCGAAAGGTGATGTCGCTGTGCCATGCGGTTTTCCACGGCCTCGGTGGAACGTGCGTTTGCGTGAGTCCGTGCCTTTGGGGGAAGAAATCCTGCTGGTGAAAACGCGGCTTGTCATTGTGGACAGAGGTGGACAGTTACTTGTAGCGTCCAATTTAAAGATAAGTCCTCGAAATCGACCATGTTGGTAGTATGGGTCTCCGACATTGTGTGCGTGTTATTGTTTATGTTTGGGTAGTGTTTTTGATTTATCCTCGGGATTACGGTGCCGGTGGTTGTGGTTTGGTGTTATTTTTGAAGTGTAACGCTGTAGGAGCCAGGAGTCGTAGGCGCCGGATTACGGCCCTACTTGCCCCACCCCACGAAAGATGTGCGAACCGTGCAGGACTCTTTGCATGCTCCTGGATGCTGACAAGAACGGTACTATAGATTTGGATGAGTTTGTCGCAGGATGCATGCAACTTCATGGGCCGGCCAAGAGCTTGCAGCACCATGACTGCAAGCTCCGTCCCAGCCCTCTTTTGAGCAAAGGAAAACCCGGCTCGGCTGATTTTGTCGATCTCTGACAAACCATGGCCGTATTTTTTCAGGCCGTTGTCGTCCCCAAGTCTTGTTGCAGACCAACAATGCTAGGCGGCTAGGCAAGGTTTGCACTAATTTGGTTGTGAGTAGCAAAACATGAACAGCACCGTGCTATTGCCCAATGACCGTCGACCGAAGATTCCAATCAAAAGCTCCACAGCCATGACAGCTAAGGATTGCAAAAATGAGCTTTGAGAACAAGCTGCTTGGGTTTTTCTCTCTGGACAACGAGACAGGCCTTCCCAAAAAATCCAGAAGGAATATGTTTCCTTGAAATGGTTTTAATTTTGCTAACTGGGCTGGAACCAACCACAATTACAGTACTGTATCCACATGTATCCAGCAGTTCCAAAGGGGTGCCTATTGGAGGGTAAGGGTGCCCAGAACATCCACCCACTGGAGTCCCCGGATGGGATCAAAAACCATTCCTTTGGAACTGCTGGGTGGGAGTTCCGGATGTCCTTTTTTGCATTGAAATGTGTTCTGCAAGATTTCGGTAGACTGTTGGTTGCTACTTCAAGGCTGACACGACAAGCCATCCGGAACCTGGGCCAGGCTGGCAGCACTGTTGTTTTGCGAGCGAGATGCTGGTTTGAGCCTAATAAATATAGTGCAAGTTTAAGATACCAATGTTATATAATGTTATTATGTATTTTGCAGTTTTGATGTGCGTTGTGCCTCACAAACACGTTGTTCCAATCGAATCTTGTGTTGTTTATTGAACATACATGATATGGAGTTGGGGTGGTCAAGTCAATCACACATTGAGACAACCAGGCAGTAAATCAAGGGGATGCATGGTGTTTTCCATGTGTTTCCTAAAACATCCAGTCTTACTGGCACATTGATATTCCCAAGCTGTGAGGGTTCACATCTTCAGTTGAGCAGCGTTAAAAATACAACATGTCTTGCGAAGGTGTGCGAAGGCAGATGCGAAGGTATGTTTCCAGTGTATAGTATATACCAACAAAAACATGGCTCAGTTGCCTTACAATAAAGATGATGACTTGACCACGACTTGAGTTTACAACAGCTTATTATGCATTATATTCTATATAAATAGTGAGGGTTCTCGTATTCTCGTGAGTGTTTACCGGCCCGTCTCGATCTCAGTGTCAGAGCCGTGTTCAGTTAATAGACAGAGAATTTGGCAATTGAGTGAATAGAGTCGCTATACAACCCATCTATACTAATTCCAATTGTACTTGAATCAGAACGCAGGTGCACCATGTACCTGAAACACCTTTGCACCGATAAAGAATGTGAGCTCCACGCATGACGCAGCGTCATGTAATTAGCAGTGTAGCAGCAAGCAATTGCTCGTTTGGAATGAGCCCAAAGTCTTGACAGGAAACCCTGGACATCAAGACGCAACTTGAGACCATTTCCAAATTCTTCTCCAGTGCCTCCCCGGTGGACCTCGCTGAAGATCCGCAGCTGAAGGAAGCCTTTTAAAGGCCCACAGCCGGTGGGTTCGGAGACCGTTCAGGCATAGAATCACTCATCTCAAGTTGATGAAGCTTGGTCAGATTTGCGCATGTTCACTATTTGTTGCTCATATGCCTGGAAGAACATGAGTTATAGGTGGTTTGCTTCCATTTGGGTAGACGAGACGATCACCGGACGTTTTTCTTCCGGCCGGAACCTGGACCTACCATGGCCTATGGATGGAGACTTCCGCCAGACCCACCGCTTCTCGGACAGAGTGTTTTGGTTTGTTATTGTTGGTTTTGTGTTGAATCGTCGGATGTTCCGTTGAATGATGTCAAATGGATGCTCGAAGTTGTTGCACTACTCCCGGTCCGGATGGAGGGGCCTTGGTCTCACTATGTCTCACCATGTGTTTTTATTTTTTTTCGGCTCACATCTCTTCTTCCGGTGTGGAAGGATGATCTCTTTGGGATTGGTCGGGTTCCAGGAACTCCTGAGGCGCTGTGCGATTGGTTTGACGGTGGAGTGTGGTGAACAAGTACTGTTCATCCCTACTGTCATTTTATCATTCATGGGATTATGGCGGGTCTACTCAAGACCGGGCGCGGTGCACATTTGAGAGGTGTCCAAATCGTCCAGTCTGAAGATTGTGTCCAGTTTTTGTGCATTACCAGGTAGCATCATGTAGATGACCCAGATCCATATTTCGTGATGGCTCCACGGTGTTCAATCAGAATCTTGAGACTTGTTGTTTGCCCGTACGACGCGCCGTACGATGACATGGATGACTAGCAGGCAAGGAGGTTGCAAGTTTGAGGGATTTAGCGGCCAATGTACCTTTTGCAAGAGCAATGCAATTCGTCGTGGGAGGGATGCATTGGGCACACACACATTACACTCCCGAAAACTAACATGGGACCTGAGAACGGCACTCTGAAAGACTGTTTTCCTCTACAAACCAGTGGTTTTCAGGGTCCATGTTAGTTTTCGGGAGGGTATCACTCTTGTTATTGTGTGTGCTGTTGTCGTTTGCTTGATCTTCATTGACTTCCTCCTTCATTGAGGCACTCTTGTAGTGCCTCTTCATTGACGTCATATGTAATTTAATATAATGTAATATACATATCATTATATGAATGATATATATGACTAATCATATACAGTATATTACTACTTCTAGTCATTGTTCACACCTTCCATCGGTCAGTGCCTCTTCCTTCCACACCAACACCGTGGTCTCGACGCTGCGTGGCTGCAACGCCACGAGCCCGCCGATTCCGTGGGTTAAGCACCGGAGGACGCGGAGCACCGGTGGCACGTCATGTCCCTGGGATCCGGTGTTTTTGGCATGCCAGGTCCCACCGATGTTTTCGTTGTTTCGTTGTGGACTAGGTTGATATTAAGGGATGCTGAGGGTACTTTAGAGATCTTTAGTCTTTAGAGGTGACTAAGGGTAACACACGGGTTACTTTCTTTCAGGGTATACTTAATAAGTCACAATTTCGACAGGGAATCCAGAGCTTCTTGACCCACATGAGGATCCAAAGCTTCGGGCTGGTGATCTCTCAGACCAGGTGTTCGCACCGAGAGCTGTGCGACGAAAAGACTTGTGAAGAGCGCCGAAAGACGAGGATCGCTTCGGAAGACTTCAATGCCAAAACCATCCAAAACTGCCCCAGAGGCAGAACCGAAGAGCTTGGTTCATTTGAACATCCTTTTTTTTGGTGGGGTTCATGATTAGTTCTTGATTGCCAGGTATTTGTTCTTGGCAGATCAGGCATCTATAGATTGGTCCCAAGTACCATGGAGTTCTTTGGGCCTCGGAGATTCTGCCTCGGAATTCCCCTTTGCCCTTCGCCTCTCCTTCAGGCTTGAAGGTGGTGCCGTCTTTGTTCCTGTCCACCCTCCATCCTCTGAAGGGATCCGCTGCAGATCTGGAGAAGACCTCTCGATACGACAATACGAGCCCTCCAAGAATTGCATCCAAAAGGTCAAGATAAGTTGAACCCATCACCCTAGTTTAGCTCACAGGGTGGCAGTGGAAGAAGTAGGGAATTCCATGGAAGGGGTCAGGTCATCGGCGTTTGGCTTCTTCATCCTATATAAGTCTCTTGAAGCAGTGGGGAAGATGCTCCAACAGATTTGGGTGTGAGAAATCAACAGACGAGTGTCCAATTTGTAGGGCTCGTGACAATGACAGTACCAATCACGGGGTTTTCACATCAGAATGGCACCAATGTCGCCGAGACTATATATAACTATTTGACTGGGCATTGTTGTTGTTGCTGCGCACCATTTCCCTTCCATGTCTCAAGTCCCCATCAAGTTCAAACCATTTTCTCCAGCCCAATTTTCAGCCAAGGCTTCTTTGGGACGGGCCTGGTGCTTTTCGGAAGCTTGGTAGGGCATTCCCTCCGACTGAACACCAGAGACCCCGGCGTCATCGTGGTTCTGACTTTACCGGAACGTCCAAGAGTTTGGGTTTGTTTCTGTTCAGCACAATCACTGGCACAGACACAGGCTCTTAAATCATTCTGATGCTAAGCTGCTTGTAGCTTCCAATAATGTTGGCCAGACTGCAAAACCAACAGATCTTATGTTTTGCCGACAGCCAACGGCCAGACACATTGAGAGACAGTGATGTGTCATAACACAAGCCTTCACAACTCGATTCGCCTTGCTAATTCCAAAGTGCCATGGCATGCTCAGAGGGACACTTTGCTGCAGCTGGCACGGAACTCGAAAAGAGTGAGTCATCCCGGACGCTATGTACACATATATGGCCGACATTCACCACCAAGAACCACCAAGTAGACTCAGTAGGCCATGTTTGTTTACACATGGGAGAAAGGTGAAAGGATCCATTTGAGATTCTTTGAGCAATTTGAGAGGAACTCCGTACCTACCATACAAGCAAATATCAAACAAACAACACTTTTCACCACAGACGGCCCGGCCAGCCCAGCTTTCCACCTCGCCCAGCTGCGCAAGTCAAACTCTTGACACATCTTCACCTCCCTGTTTCAATACCCCAGACACTCCATGGGACTGGCCTCTTTACCCACATTGTTGTGTGTGTGTGTGTTATTTTTGTCTTTCTGCAGTGCCACAAAACATTTCAGTCCCATTCCCAGACCATCCATCCAGGTAAGTATGGCCTATGTAAGCCTTAATATACCTATATTAAATATTATCCTATATTAAATCCTAATTGCGTACCCACCTTCGGGCATATTCCACCGGGTTCCTACACTGATACCGGCCCGTCTGATCAATTCCGAACCGGTTGGGCGCGTCGCGTCGCGCGGAGCGCGGACGTCGGATCGGGCGTCGGAGCCAGGTGAGGATTTGCGAGCCTTGAGCGTTCAGGTGGCCGAGTTTCGTTTGCATGTGCCTCGGCGAGCCATGAGAGTCTCGTTTTCATCCAGTCTCGTTTCGAAACGTGGGACCGAGGCGACCTGCAACATGTTGGAAATGGTCGAATGAATGAGTATGGTATAGTGGTGGATTCTGAGATCATCTCATCCAAGATCGGGCCGGGTTCCACCCTCCATGGTCCCTCGGCAAAGCCGCGTTTCAGGTGGAGAATCAGCTCGCAGAAGTGGTGAGGCTTTTGGAAAATTCCAAGCTCAAGGACAGTGCTGCATCCGCGCAGATGTCCCAGACCCCCAGTTCCAGCAGATGCGGAGCGTTCAGGCTGGCTGTTTGTTCCATTGACCTGTTTGTTGATGGTTCGACTGAAGGGATTGAAGGGACGACGTCAAAAAAAAGTTGTATATTTCAATCAGCTGAATATTTTTTTGCCTTGAAACTCCACCAGGCCCTTCCCAAAGGAACTCAGGCCTATCTAACCTCCCAGAGAAGAGCGAGTAGTTGATCCACGGTTCGACGCAATGTTGGCTTTTGTATGGTTTTGAGATTCATGTTTTAACCATGTTCAGGCACGCCCAACCCAAGCATATCATAAGCCCGTGAAAGACAAGATTGATTACATGACACCTAAACATCCAATATTCAAAAGCAATACACCGGCCAATGGAACTCGATATGATTTTAGACACGTGCTTTGCCCCTTTGCACGTCTCGAACTGGAAAGACCTTTGCAAGACCAAGTACCACTTGGAGCTCCCGCAACATTGTTACTCCACCGACCACCCCAACGGACAAAAACAGATAGTAAACACAGATCACTTCGGGGCTGTCACATTGAAGGTCCTAGTAGTTCTTCTCGTTCTTTTCCAGGAGAGGTCTGAGCCACCGGTGAGTGCTGGAGGCTCCTTCCGCAACAGCCTGTTGATGCCCGGGCGCAAGACGATTCGTCGACGTCAGACAGGTCTTGCGGCGGGTAGTTTCCATGAATCACAGCCCTCGGAGGCAAACAGAATTTGCATGGTGGACTTATAGAATGGATAGAGCAGAAGTGGGGCAAGGAGGGACAAGTGAAGACCCAGTGATATAACACCGACGATCCATTAGACTGGATTCCTGTCCTACCCAGTCTAAGTCTATTTAATCGACACCTATTTCTGTTGCTGTAATAAGGAGGCATCCTTGATTAACTTGCTGTTACACTGTTACACTGGATTCCGCCTGGGTGACAACTATGCCCTACAGAATGTCTTGCCTGCGCGCATCTCAGGAATATTTTCACTGGATCAACTCCAAAGTCCAATAGCTTCACAGGCGGGCGAATCCTGTTGGGGACGGTGGAGACCTTCCCAATACCGGTGTGTCGGCCATCCCACCGAGGCCTTTGGTCCGAGCTTTTAAAAAGTAGTGGCCGGTCTTTTCAGCCCCGTCAACCGGCGGATCCATTTCCGTGTACGCTCCGACAGGTCATTGAAACCGGGTCCAGACAAATCCTCGACTGACGACCTGTTTCAGGGTACTGCTTTATAATCCACCATTTTCCAGCTGCTACTGCTTGCTTTGCCTCTTCGACACTTGTCTTCGGCACTCCAATCCGCTCGCCGCTTGAGAAATCAGGCTCGGATCCGCCGATGGATTCCATCGAGGAAGCCGAGGAAGAGGTGCCACGGTCATCGCGAAACGTCGGCGAACGTTGTTTGATCATGTTTTTTTTGTGTTCCACCCCCCTCAAGATATTTTTTGTGAGATGGGCTGATTCAGTAGGCCATTCACTTGTTTTTCTTTGCTGGTGTCGAAAGATTATCTTTTCGATCCTCACTGACTTTTGAGTTGTGCAGGGTAACTTGGGATCTTCGACACTGCAGTTTGCTAAAAGGTATTCACAAGTCATTTTTTTGCAACGATTCCGATAGATATAAGACCTGGATGTTCACTGGGGTCTATGGGACTCTTTTTGCATGGTCGAGGAAAAACAGGCTGCAAGAAGCTGACATTTGGTGCCTTTGAAGGCTTCGACATGGTGCCATGGTATATGTTATTCGACGCAAGCAAGTGTCCATCTTCACAGTTGTGAAGGGTCCTTGATATGGTTCGCTTGCAGTGACTCCAGTGGTGGCATTGGGGTGATGCTCAGGTCAGATAGATAATTAGGAACCGACCTTTTTGTTGCCCACCCCCCAAGCTTCCATGTTGACCAGATGCCATGTTAGTTACAGTGGATGAGTAGATGGCACAGACCCCTAAGAGGTGGTTTATTATGAACCCCCCATCTAAAAGACATCTTGGGAGTTGTGCCATCCACTCGGAAACCACTGTATACGGAATCGTATGTGTGCCCTTCGCCGATGCTTCATTTACAGTCACAAGCAAGCTTATGTATGACTTGCGCACCTTTACTTACTACAGGTAGTGCGGAGTCTTTCAAGTGTGGTAGAGCAAAGTCGTGTTTCATGTGACGTGGAGGTTGCTAAATACATTTTGTGTGGCATCTGAGGTTTTTGCATCCAATGATCCAAACCATGACTTGTTGTCAACATCAATAATCCAAATAAATCCATGACATGAATTTTGGGAAGAACTTCCTTCCGTGGAATCCATGCAAACCAGCCCCTTAGCAAGCCCTCAAACACCATATACCTCTCTAAGTACGTACCTCTCTACCTTCGATCTATATACTCTTCAGTCAAGGGACCCCGGCTTTTGGTACACCTCACCAGTGAGTCATAGTGAGTCTCTCCACCACACTCCTGTGATTCGACCCACCTGTTCGGTCCCCTTCGTTCTACCCCGGCCGCAGAGCGACGCCTCTTGCTCCTCGGATTGCAGCGATGGAGTAAGATGGGAAGGGTGAAACAGATCCTCCGAGGTCTCAAGTCCCAGGAACAGTGGACAACCAACCTTTTTGGGGAATCTGCCACTGCCACCATCTCAGAAGGCACGACTGGACCCTCTAAAGGTTACATCAAATGGTTGAACCTATCAGTTTCTGAGAGGCTTTGTGGATCCATGAGAAGTCCACTTCACCTGTTTTCTTTTTTTTGGGGGTGTGTGGACACCGGAACACCCCACCTATCAGGTGCTTCTCCAAAGGCGGAGTATCGGCGCATGCCATGCGGTTCGGTTCAACGTTCGGATCTCCGGGAGTGGAGGTCGAAAAAGGCTCGCACCAGTTGGACGGCGGGCAGCGGGCAGCAAGCTGTTCAAGTGCTTGGTGGGCCAGACCCCCAGTTCTGGATCTGGTTTAAGGGCCATATCATGCTATATATATCTATACTATGTCAAAATCCTGCTCGCGATGGACGCGTTTTTGGCACGGCACCACTGGAACCCCTGACAAAAAAACCGGAAGGTCTTCCGCACCTGGAAGTGGGTGTTGTTTGTAATTGTTTGTGAAAGATATGAGCACAAAAACAGAGAGAGAGAGAGAGCATGCGCCAATACTTTGTCAAGAACTAAAGGGCTGCCATTTCTAGCCACCTGGACGGAACTATTGTCGGATAATAGGCACTTAGAGGCACCCCTTTCTCTAGCTGACTTGGCAGTTGCCTACACCATCCCCTATAGCAATCCACATACCCTTTGAGAAGGTGATTGGACCCTCCAAGCCAACCATAAAAGAGTCTTCCATCACCTCCTCACAGGGTGTGTGTCCCTCGGGATTCATCCGTCTCCCATGTCCGAGCACGGCCGGTCGCAGTCGCAGCGGCCTCGCGCGGTCAAGGTGAGAAGACGAAGACCCGGAAGACCGAGCTGCTGGGCCCGAACGGGGCGCAGCAGAGTTCGGTCCAGCTGGCCTGGTGGGTGGGTAGATGTGGGTGGTCTATAGATTTTTCGGGTGCTGCGGAAGGTGGATTCCATGTCATGACGTAGGTGGAAAACATTGGAGAACCAACTAAAAACAGGAGCTTCTGGCACACCAGGTCCGCCACAGACGTGATTTGAGGAACAAGACCAGGTGAGGTTCATCAGTTAGGTTCTCCGTCTTCGAGAAACCAGGAAAAGGATTAAAGAATTCATCCATGTTTGGACCTTGTCTCAACTCATCCATTCCTGGACTGGACTTGGTCTCATCCACTTTCTGTCACCTTCCAGGTTTTGTATGCCCTGTACCGCTGTCATTCCTTTTCCCCCCCAATTGGCGCTTCCGATTGTAGCGCGGACGACCCAGAGCACTTAATAGCACATGGAGCAATCCAGGCTGTTCTTCCAATCGCGCTCGAGCACTTCCAGCTCGAAGAGAATCTTGGAGCTTGAAGCTGACTGGGGTCGACCAAAGCAGAAGATGAGGAAACCAACCTGCAATATTGTACTGTAGAGATTCCTTTGGATCCATTCCCTCATTCCATTGAAGAGATGCATGCCACTTGGCCACCTGACCATGCAGGCCAGACTCGGCCAAACTCATCAAACCCCCTTCCTGGAAGAGAGGTTATTCTGAGGGGTGATCCAAGAACACTGGCTTGTAGCGGACCAGGGAACCAGCAACTTTGGTAACTTTGGTCAAGCCACACCATGTGTTTGGTATATTTGCCTACCTTGACCCCGTTGAAACCACCCCAATGTAAGTAAATATGAGTGTGCATTAAAAGAGGGAGATCTGCCAGGCAACGACCCCCTGGAAGAAAGATATGTTTTTGAGGCCAGGGGATCTCCATATGAAAATACACACATATATGGCAGTTCCATCAGTCATGCCTGGGAGATGAAAGTTCCATGAGACTCTCAGGACATCGTCCACACGATCATCCTCCGAGTTCAAAACACCGAGGATCACCAAGTGAATCATGACAAGATGTTCTGATTCTGGGTGGTGGGTTCAGATTATATAATATGTTGATGTTCAACCCTTTACTTGGGATGATTGAACCCACTGACTATGTTGTTTCAAGTGAGTTGATACCAACCAGTGCTGCGAGTGCTGCATGCAGTGACAGCTCCGGGGCCACGTCCGAGCCCCTAGCGATTCCCGGCGCTTCCCCGGCTCAGCTTTGCGCGGTGTGTGTTTAAACAGGTGCTGCTGCTTGCCATCGATATTCGATCAGATCCAGTCATAATCCCTCACACCGCCCGTCATCCCTATCCATGGGCCATCCATGAGCCAAAATGAGCCAAATCCAGCTGAAGACCTATTTCCTCCCCACTCAATGTTTGCGTAAGCTTGAGCAGCGCCAGAAGAGGCAACAAAAAACACCCACCGCAGTTCCAAGAGCAAAATGGGAAGATAGGTGTGATCCCTGTCACATCCACTTGGAGACTAACAATACCACCCCAGTTACCACCTTTTAGGGGTGCTACTGCATCGTCGCCCTTACTCCATTCACCCCGAGGCTCTCGGCACTCCTTCGTGCGCAAGAGCACCGTGGCTCACCGGCAGCGCGCACAAAGTGCCTGGGTCGAAGGTCACGTGGGAATGGCGACGAGCAGGGAGGGTCCCTGTTCATTCTGGCAGAGAGGCTTACAGAGTCTACTCCCTAGGGATCCAGTCGTACCTTCGTTTGGAAGGTGGGACTGGGCTGGGTGCCAGGAGGATCCAAATACCTTTCTGAGGAGGTACGACTGGATCCCTAGGGACTGTAGAAGTCACCGGAGCAACTGTTCATCTCAGTATACTGTTCACCTCCGGGACAAGGAAAGATGGCGACCCCCAGTGGCGACTCCCGATTTTTGGTGCCCAGAGATCAGCAGGCCCCATGGATTACAGTGGTTTCAGAGGTTCGATGGCACAATCCCCAAAAGATTGTTTTAGATGGGGCACATATAAACCACCTCTTAGGTGTTTGTGCCATCTACTCTGAAACCACTGTAGGTTGGAGGGTCCAAGTACCTTCTGAGGACGTACTTGGATCCCTAGGAGAGTTGAATCCCTTTGAGGGCCAAACGACCTTCCAGCGGCTGCGCCGCTTAGCACGAATGCGACCTTCCAGTGCTGAGCCTTTGTTCTTCTTCACCTTTTTGGACGGACGAGCCCTCACATCCCAGTGGATTGGCTGCTACCCTCTCTGGTTGGTAAAGCTGAGACATGCTGGGGGGGAGGAACTCGGGATGCTGAGACATGCCTTTCTTGGCCGGAAAAAAGATGAAAAAGGCGTCTCTATGTTCGACCCGTGGTTTTTGATTTGTGGGGAGAGCGGCTGGAGAGTGTTGTTTTCAATAACCAGTGGATCTCCCAAACATGTTTGCCTTTTTGCTGGTTCTATTGAAAAGGCCGTCATTCTGAATTCTGCAAAGTTGGAAGATCCTAGCAGGATGTATCGCTATCGAAGGGATCGGATCGCAGGCTGGCCCCTTCAATCCACCCAATCTCCATGGGTCCCGACCGTCCCGACCGACCACTTGAGGTCAAGCACAGAAGCTTCGGAGCGTTCGCGTGAGCATGCACCTGATGCCGCAGCCATCCATGGAGCGGGGGTGGTCCGAAGGTGATGGAAGGGAGAACCCATGCGGTTTAGTCACTGGCTGAAGGTCAATTTGAATCAAGACATTCTTAAATGGCTATTTGGCATACCAATCAGAAGGAGCTGGCTCAATGATACTCCTCCCTCCTCCTCGTCATGCCTCTTTGTGCCCCCCAGTCTTCGAGCTGTTGCACCCTGCAGTCCCTCCACCTTCAACTGTTGAGAGGGTGAATATACCTGGCCCCGACTTCATTCGTACCTTAGAAAACGGGATGTGACCACACTCAACGCCAGGGAAGGACGAAAGGACTTGGGCCCGCCTTTGTTTTTCCGTACGAACGGGTCGACTCCACTCCAAATAGAAGGATACTCCGAGGGGTGCTGCAGGGCCTCATGCAGCACTCCTCTTTGAGCGGATTCAAGATGGGTCTCTTGTGCCGATGAGGGCCGCACCTTCAAGTAGCGATGCCCTTTGTTCCTAGTAGCGTTCTTGTTCCTAGTAGTAAGGCCAGGAGCCCTAGTAGCGTCCTTTGCTCCTAGTAGCTTCAAGAGAATGACCATGAAAGACCCTTGACCTCAAAAAGATTCGTCCTCAGAGTGCTTGAGGTGTGGGAAGCAGTATGGCGCCCCCCTTGACCTATTGATGAACAAACCCCCCCATTTGGAATTGTGAAACCTCTTGACATGTGTGTGTTTTTTCCAATGTTTTTCAAATTAATCAAGAGCCAAAGGAGTCAAGAGCCAACCGTGGCCAGGAGCCCCGGCAGCGGTCGTTGAAGTACTATGCAAACAAGATCGTGTCCTCCGGCGCCTTCGCGTATACCATCACCTTCTTTATTCTTCTAAACGCCCCGTGGCTGTGAAATAGTACTTTTCCAACATGGGTCGAATGGAACACCACATAGACATAACCGATTGCAATTGAAATTGCATGTTTCTTCAATGAATCAAGCGGCCCCGTGGTTGAGGGTCAATGAATTGTAGAGTAGCTGGAAAAATGCAGGGTACTCAGCAGCAAGCTTTGCTTAGACCAAACCTAGTGGATAGAGCAAGGTTGGTAGATAACTCATGGTGTTTCCAAGACTCTTGGTTTTGCTTAGAGTGAGTAGGTTTTTTTTTGTGTATGGGTTCAACCTTGCTTTCTGGGGAGTATGCTGTTGTTTTTGTTCTCCCTCCGGGACTCCTGGGAGTTGCAAATCCAAGGACTCCAGGGCCCGGAAACCATCATCAAAAACAAGTCTCCAGAAGTCTTCAGAAGACCTCTGACATAGGAGGGCGGTGATGGACTCAGCATGAATTTTCACGCAAGGACGTGACAACAATCATTTCAGGTCTGGATGTTGATTTTCACGTGTTTTTGGGGGGCTCATCACCAAGACATGTCAGGGACGATCCAGCCGAGCGATTCTGACCATGTTCTATCGCAAACTAGATGAATGGAATTGGGATAGTCACACATATGAAGCTGAACATACATGAAAACCGCATGAACATGACTCATCCATGATCATGCAGGTAACTCTTCTTGTCCGACGGGTGGTTTAGGATTCATTGCCTTGTAGAAGAGAGCTGAACACTTCGGCGGGTCATTGCGACGTGACGTCGTGCCATATGAGCCACGGACAAAATTATTGGTTGACTTATTTAGTCACAGCATGAGTGACCCTAAACCTATGTTGAGGGCTTTGTTTCTGTGGAAAACGATATGGTCCCCACCAAAAACGATAATATATTGTTAAGATGTAGTGGGTACAAAGATGTTTGTGGTTACCAGATGTTAATGCATTGCATGTTTATTTGAGCTAAACCGATGGGCACAACTTTTCATCAATGATAATCCCAGACAACTTCCCAAACGATAATCCAAACGATAAGCGAATGATAACCTAAATGTCATGGCAGGCACTCCGTAGACCTACTTCTCCACATTACTAGTGTTGGTCCGAGCTACTAGGTCCCCGCTTATTTGTTGTGATCCTTGCACAGCCCGGTGCCACAAGAACCCAAGTGCATAAATAATTTGCTGTGCCATTCCTGTGCAGTACTGTATGCCTTTAATCTGAGGTTGTGAGTTATATTACTGTATATTTTTTGTTTTAGCCTATGTGCTGGTATGCTATGCTAACTGCGATTTGGAGAAACATTGGAGAACGATATGGGCCCCACCAAAAACGATAATCATGTCAAATGGTATTGCGCTACACAAGTAATTTTGTCCGCTGCTCATATGCTCCTCCAAGTCGATCTGCGGCCGCTGGAGGTGCCTTTTTAAATACTGAATTGGGTACCAGGGCTGGTGGTTAGTGGATACCCCTTATATAACCTCTAAGGAGCTATAATTAGACACCCCGGGGGGCCCTGGTATATAGCTTGGTCAGCTACCGAACCAAGTCACAACAAAACACAACATCCATGCCGCTTTGAATCCGAGCCCGGTTTGGGAACCGGGTCCAGACCCCTGTTCGTTTTGCGGTGCAGAAGGTCCGACCCCTGCAATCCCAGGACACGACTAATGGGACTCCCCAAAACCACCCCAATGTAAGCATAAGCATATATGGCAGTCCCATTAGTCGTGTCTGGCCGGTCGGTCGGGCCTGTTCGGATTCTTAAGGCAGTATCTGGGTTTCTTTGGAGGTGGGTCGAAGGTCGATTCATCAATGCAACATTGCCAGGCCGAGGGTGGACGAAAGGACTCGTCAGGGGATTTCCCCCCCCATGAAAAGACAGGTCGAGGTTTTTTCACGGAGACTTCAACCTACCCAGGAAAAAGTGGATCACCTTGAACTGGTAACCATTTTGCTGGAATTGGGGTGACAGGGACATGTTGGGACCCGTTTACGTGTGCAGGTGGTGACCAGGTGGTTGATCTGCTAGATGCCATGAGCCACCGGGTGACGAGGTCCCGGAATGGCGCCGACGTAGCTCGCCCGTGTCACGAGGTGATTTTGTTGGGAATCGAAGTGGACTATTCCGCTTCGGTGGGACAGTTCGATATCCCGGATTGGCCACTGGGCAGGCAAGTAATAGCATCCAGATTACTTAGATTAGTTAGCACCCTATAGTGCCTATAGGAGCTGAGTAGTAGAAGGATCTCAATTGCATGAAGGAGCCAGAAAGATTCAACCGCGAGTCTGCGAGCATTTGTCTTCAATTTTCTCAATGCCAGTTTTGGTGGGACCTCTCCGTTGTCGCGGGTCTTGCAGTTGCATGCAGTTGCAGGTTTGCAGATTATTTCAGGAAACATATATACAATATATCAGCATCATCGCCCTGAAGCAGTGACTATATGTATAATTATGTATATATGTAATGTATATGTATAATATAAACTATATATGTATATATATATATACACCTTTGATGCATGCTTAAACTGCATGTACCGATTCTTGTACATAATATGCTTATATCGGAACAATTTTTGTCTTTGTCATGGCGCCAGTGCTATGCACGCCCCGGGTCACACACCCGTCACCTCTATGGAAGCATGTTTGACCATGATTGTCAATCGCAGCAGCTGCCCCATCACTGGACCCAGGTTTAACCACATGAACACGGTCATCGTGTCTCGGCCTTCAGTTGGTTCCCCAAACGTCCGGGTGGGTGGATCCAAGGTATTTTGGAATATGTTGGGCTTTTGTTTTGGACATGTTTCTTTAAATCCTTTGTACTTTGGAGGTCATCCAATCGAATCATTTCATCCAGGGCATGGGCTGCAGGGCGGAATCCGCTTTGGGAATCCTCTCACCTTGTCACACACCTCCGTGAGAATGACGTCGGATTCCAAGGGATGGGCATTTTTGTTCGGAAGCCAGAGGCAATGGGCCTTGCCTTCTAGAGAGAGAGAGGGAGAGTGTCATAAGACCACTATCCCATGTCTTTCGTTCACTGTTCGAAATGCGAAAGATCCCTAATACGAAATGCGAAAGAACACTGCCTCTCCTTGGCCCGAAGGTGCTGTTCTTCGTGCTGGAGATCGTTTTGAAATTTATGGCTTTGGGGTGCCCAGCCTGCAACGCGGAAGTGTCCACCTTCCGACCAAGGCACTCATGCCCCCTCTATACAGACCGTTCGTTCCACTGATGTTGGGCCCTTTTTTCCTTGCAAAGGGCCACATGAACTCTCAAAACGATGGTCTTCCACACGGCTTCTGGGTCCATGCTCGTCAGGATTTTTTTTTTCCGGCTTGTGGCGTTTCGTCATTGGCTTCAACCAATAGGATCTTGGTCTCTGATCACTTGGCCACAAGTGAGGTTTTACTGCAACATGCTTGTTCCACATGCACCTTTTGAGGTTGACAGGTTGACCTCCGTGCCTTCCGTGGGTCCAAGCCGAGCAACCAACCGCGCTCAACGACCGAATCTTCAAGCTGGGAATTTGGGGAAAGACCGATGATGATGATACCATGGGACTCATGGGTCCAATTCGAAGTTGGAATGCACAACAATTCACACAACAATTCACACAACAATGCGTTGTGAAGATCATGTTCAATTCAATCACATAGAATGCATGTAAAAGGCGTGATGGCGCCTCCAAACGCTGGGTGCCCTGATCACCCTGGACCTTCCCATCTGGACCTCAGGTGCTGGGACTTTTGGTTCGGCGAGGACGGATGCCCGTTGAACGGGACCAAAGCGGGTCGGATGGATCAGGTTCTATATAACGTTAGGGATCCAGTCGTGCCGAACCTCAGGTTGGGTACGACTGTACCCTCCTGGCCCCTACATAACAGTGTCGAACACATCACCGTACCTGAGAAGGTACGACTGGATTTGTAGGGTAATATGACTATGATATGGCTATATATGGCCTGTATTGCATAGTCATTCTCAGTCATTCCATCGATTTCCTCCATGCAGAAACCATTCAACTAACATCAACTAACAAAGGGTTATCCATAATTGCCTTTCTAGAATTGCTGCTTAGATCAATATGTAGCTTCTCGAGGTCCTTGGCCCACCCAGATTACACCAAAAAGCCTCATCATGTGTCATGCCCCCGTTGGCCATGCCAACCCCATGCCACCACCTTAGCTTAGCGTGGAGAGGGCTGCCACCCCTCGCACCAGGATGCCACCTGGAACTTCTTCGAGTTCCTGATCATCATCGTCTCCGTGGTGGACCCGAGCTCGATCGTGTGGTCTTTTCCTCGGTCACGTCGGGTGAGGTCGGAGAGGTCCCCACCTGCTCCGGGCGCAGGGTGAAGGGTTTCATTGGGGGGGGCGAGAAGGCCCAGGAAGGCCGATTCTGGATGTGCACAGGTGTTGAAGGTGTTGAAGCTTCTGCATTTGGTGCTTCTCGGAGCATGTTGGTCCGTGTGGGAGAGTCCGTGCCATGTATTCCATCCAACAGGGCATCAACCCGGGTGGTTTCCTCAAGTCGTTTGAGGTGAAAAAGGGGTGCCGCCAAGGGCTGAAACATCCACAGGCTGTACACCTGTACAGCCAACACCTTTTCGTTGTCATCACCATCAAGCACTGAAGATGGTGGTGGAATAATTGCTATACCCTAAGGGCTCCAACCACCTTCTGAGAAGATGGTTAGACCCCCCCAAACTCACCCTAACCATCTTCTCAGGAGGTGGTTGGAGCCCTAGGGATAATATGGTTATTCTCAAAGCGCGTTCTGTACAACAATTTATCGTCCTACCAAAAAGGCTTGTTTGTTGAACACATCGCACCCTCCTGGCTACTCTGTGTTTGCATAGGGTCATCCCCAACCAATTGTTTTACTTGACTATTTCAGAGGGTCAATCTGGGATGGTCCCCCCATGTGAATACATCCCCAATCTGAAGCACCATGAATCCCAGGCCATCGGACTGACCGTCCACGGGAGAGTCCCTTCGGACCGTCCACGGTCGCCCGTAGGACGTGGCCTTGGACTTCGTCACCACGGCCCACCGGTGTTCGCAAGGGCCGGGAGAACGGGGGGCGGCCAAAGCTGGTTTACCAAGCAACGTACGGTACATGGCAGTCTTCGAATGATATGTCTATATAATGGTTCATCCGTGTCTCCTCTACGGGTTTCAACCTCCTTCTGGTGAAAAAAGAACTTGTTGCAGTTCCTCTAGCAAATCTATAGTCTACCTTCTACATGTTTATACTATCATCTAAATAAGAATCTAATAGTCTATAGTCATAGTCCTCAGACCTCAGAAGACTTTATGTTTTTTTGGATCGATAAGGCTTTTGCTTTGAGCATCAGGTTTTTAAATGTGCCAATTCCTGTACTTTATTCATGTGCTGCTATATCAAATGGCATAGTGTGGTTGATTGGGGCTTTGGGTCCCACCCAGACGGCAACAGCCCCAATCCACCCCAGGAGAACCGGTAGGTGAAATCACCAAAGGCTCACTGAGACTTCAAGAAAACCATTCGAACGATGTCAAAAAGAAGCCGAACCGCAAGTTGCACAGGGTTTCAACGGCCCCTTGCGCTTCATTCCACGTTCAGAATCCGCATGTTATATCTTCTTTCCTATTGTTTGGGTCCTTCCTTGTTCCCTCTGGCCTTTTCCTCCGAACTGCACTGCGGGCCAACTGCCGATGCTCGGCTCCGGACACCGGTGGCACCAGTGGCCGCTGCTGTCGCGCTGAAGCTCACGCCTGAGCACCCCGAGGCGATCTCGTCGAATCTTAACACCGGGCAACTCCGCCTGGTGCGCTCCATACGCTTGGCGCGCGCCTTGCGCTCCATGCGGGTGATGCGGCTCTTCCGTGGCTTGGCGTGCTCCAGCGCGTTGTGAAGTGGGCGTTAAGCCGAATTGGAGGATGGTGGAGTGTGGATGTGTTCGTTTTCAGTGCATTTTGGAGGGGATGCTGTTGTCCTATGTTGAATGTGGTGCATCTATATGTGCATGTTGCGTACATGTTGGGGAAAAAGACACGTTGGATGACCAGGTCTCTATTAGAATGGAAGATTAATTGATTTTCTTAGAACGCCAAGGTGCTCAACGTGCTACCAGGGCCGAGTTTGCTCAAACTGACGGGACCGTACCCAGGTTTGCAGACCGCCCGACCCGAAGCAACTGCTACAGTAATCCCAGACACTCCATGTTTGGCATATATGACATGGACCCCCCAAAACCACCGGCCTGATCGGCCAATAGACCAGTCCTCTGAGTCGTGTTTGGGAATGTCATACAGATATATTTGATGATATTGCCTACCACCTGATCTTGCGGTATACCAGTCCCATGTTGCTTGCAATCCGGTGCCCGGACGCATCACCACGGCCATCCACGGCTGGATGGGACGAAGCCAAACCACCCAACCTCCGTGGCACCGAAGCGTCCCACCGGTCAGCGGACCCGGTCTCTCCGGTCAGCGTCCTCGGTGACCGTCCGTGGTCCGTTTTCCATGTGTTCTCGTCGTCAGGGTACGTGAGCGCCTTGCGAACGCTGGTCTTGTCGATCATCAGCACCTTTGTTGGCATGAAGAGAGAGAGAGAGAGAGAGAAAACAATTAATTAACACAATTTAATTGCTTCGAGATCTTTGAGGATTTTCATGGATTTTCATCCCATGGGTCCACATATCTTCTCAGAAGACCACATACCTTTGAAGAGTATGGGGCATCCACTTTGGGGATGTGGCAGAAGTGGATCGATCCTGGCGGCTCTGGGGTCGGTCGTGGAGTGGGCGAGAGGATGTGGCAGTGGGTTTGGTGGTGTGACAGAGTCATGTTGGAGACATGAAATGTTGGATTACACTGGTCTCAGTCAGAGTAGATTGCTCAAGTCCCAGCAAGTTCCTTGTTTGGATCCCCATCAGGTGACCATCATTCGAGGTGGTTGAGCTGACTTGGTTCCACTTGCTTTGAACTGTAGACTGTCTTGTTGAATCCGGATCACTGAGCCTCCCACAAAAAATTAGTCCAGCAATTCTTGTAGCTCAAGCGCATCCATCCACGGAGTTGTTCGTTTCGAACAGATTCCCTGTATATAAATTGTGTTGTTCAGGTCCGCCGTTTGTTCCACCCAGTGCCAAGTTTCATTCAATTCATGTTTGACCAGTTAATTGATGCAGGACTCCATGTCTAAGTGGTGCGACCGGCCTTTTGCTGATGATGTGTTCTCTTTCGGTCGCAGGGACTGGGTTTCGAGGCACGATGGGTTCTCTCTTATGGACGCTGGCACTGCTGGTGTTGATTTTCTATAGTTTCGGAGTGATGCTCACTCAGAGACCTGGCAGCAACGCACACAACGCGGTATCAACGCGTTAAGTGTAGGTTTCGTGCGTCCCCCCGACGTACGTTTTTCAAGACGTCAGATATATGGGCACCATGTGAGAACCATGATATGATGGATGGTCATTGGTGTCTGGTCGTATTGTTGCTCAACCTGAGGTTGGAGTTGAAGGATAGTCAGTCCCCAAAACTGGATTCAGCATTTTGAGCAGCTTCTTGCAAAGGATTTAACTGAATGTTTTCAACTTTCACAGCGCGATCAACCACTAGAAAGCCCAAATGAAAATTCATCATCGGTCCTTGGGTGACACTTACAGAACCGGTCGGTGACTATGAACACACCCTGGAAGATACCTACGAACCTGAGTTCACTACGTCGGGTCGACGAACATCCTCTTCCAGTCTGGTCCATGCCAGGTTCCAGTTCCATGTATGATCCATGTATGATCTCCCTTGATTGAAGAAAACCCCTACTGAAAACAACCTCTCAGTTAGCCAATGAAGGTTCCAGTTCCATGTTAGTCTTCAGTGTTACCATCCATGACCCCAAGTCACTCGCTGTCACCACTATTGGACCGGAGATCGGCCCCGGCCACGCTGGATCGACCTGGAGCCCCGCACCAGGGGAGGTTGACCATGTCTGGTAGTTGGTTCATTCTTGGTGGGAAAAACCAGGGTGTCCCGGTGACCCACAGCCACTCGGTCACTTATAACACCAGCAGGGCTTGAAGAACCCTACAGACATCTACAGACCATTTTTTGGACCATCCCTTTTTTCGGATCATTTGGATACCCCAGCCGCAGCACTCTAGGTCACAACCCTGTCAACCTCCCCCTGCCAGGTTGGTCATCGATCATTGTCGCTACAACACGATTGAGTCCACGGGCGACACCAATGCCATACCTACATGTGCCACCCGACCGGGGGGGGTCGTGCCGCCTGTGTCGGGCCTTTGATTGTTTACGAGCGTCCCAGACGCTCATATTTGTGTAAAGATCATGAAGGAGTGTTCAGGCATGGTGTGTATGAAGTTACTCAGAAAATGCAGAGAACAGATGTTGGTTGTAAAACTCTACGGGTCAACCTACATCCTCCACAAGATAGGGCCCAATTCTTCACACCGTCCACAATATGCGTCAATCTTGGAGCCGTCTTCCCCACTGTGGGGATTGGCTCCGCTGAGGTTGACTCAAACCAAGTACCATGAGAAACAACACGAAAACTGATGGGAAGTGTGGAAGAACAGGGCGAGTGCAGTCACAAGCTGATGTGTGAGCACAGTTTGATGAACTATGCTTCTCCATTTTTCTACATGTTGTTTTCAAGAAATGGGTTTCAAGTCTTTTCAATGTTTCCCAATCATGAAGATCTATGAAGACCCATTCATGCCTATGTAGATCAATTATAGCATATTAGAGGCGAAGTCAGTGAATAGTATCCCTTCAAAGGAGCTCCTACCGATGAATGACCACATGTTGGCCCGATGTTTCGTCGGGGCCTGCCCTTCCCGTCCGACTTGCTCCGCAGGTGAACCGATTCTGAAGATGTATTGGTCGGAGGTTCCTGAGAGCTCCTTGCCTTGGAGACTGGCTGAGGTGACTGAAGAGGGAGACCCACATGGAAGGGGGCAGTCCATTGGCCCGCTGCATGTCCTCATGGCTTGGTAGAGGAGCAGCCCTGTAGGGAAATGCGTCATCGTGGTATTGTTTGTGTGCACATGCGTTGATCTCAAGTGAGATGCGTGTTCTTTATAGTTATATAGTTGTTTGTTCCTGATCAAGCTCACGCGAACTGCCTCAGGGCTGTCACACCGCAGCTGCAGTACCTATAGCAGGTCATGGTTTGACACATTTAGTTAAACTAGTCACTGCAGGATCTTGGCTTGTTTTTAATGAAATACATACGTCATCCAATTTTTGTGTTTATATTGTTTTCCAGAGGTGATGGAGGCAGTCCATTGTGTGTAATTAATCTCCTGAAGGGAGCAGTTTCAGAAATCAAGTGTTTCTTGGGCTTTAACAACTGCAAAATCCAACCACCATTTAGACTTGAAGATTCCTCTCATGGCAACTTGAGCCGAAGCGAGGCATGCTGACACTCTTTATGGCAACTTGGCAACCGTTTCTTCACCGAGAGGATCGCCGGAAATTCATGGCGCTAAGGCGGCTAAGACCACCATGAAAAGGGACGTGTGAAACAAAGGTGGTGTATTTCCTCCACAGGTTGTGGTCCCAAAGACCTGCGCAAAGTGAGAGAGCTGCCAATAATTATGCAGTATCAACATGGGTCTAACCTGGAGCTCCAAACCCTGGTAGGTTGACTTCCCCGGTTAATCTATTCTGATCATTTTGGGTTGTCAAACAGGGTGTTTTTGTTTTGATCCACTGCCACATCTTTCAAAAAGAACAGACACACACACCATCGGCTGTTGCTGTTGAGGAAGTCAACAATTAGCGGCTTCCTGGCTTCCCATTTTTTCACTGCCACTGACTAATCTTTTTCAAGTGGGTTAAAACCACCAACCAGTTAGGTGTTTTGATTCATTTGGGGACATCACATGATCCCTATCGGTGCACTTTAGCCCACCTTAAGCAGTGATGCAGATCGCCCATTGTGACGACGACCACTGGGTGGTCCACCCGGTGGTTCGTTGAAATGCAACGTGGTACACCAGGTGCACACAAGAGGAAATCGGTGACAACATCGTTGGACAAATAGGCCCAAAATCTGTTGAACTGGAAACTGGCATCCCAAATGAACTTGATCTCCAAAACTCCACTGAAGCACTTCAAAGTGAAGGGTTGGTCTGAGTATGTCTGAGTGATCTTGCCTCCAAGTGAGTCCAAGGCCATCACTGGCGGTGTGAGTTGGGACGATGCGGTTTGGCCACTGCGAGATGTGTCCATGTTGGCATTGGCGTTGGTGATTTTCTACGCGCCTTGGTCGGGATAGAATCGAAGGGATAGACGCAAGTCGGGCAAGCTGCCAGCTGTGTGCCATGTTTTAATCCACCATACGCAATGTGTGTGTATGTCAATGTAAAAAATAGTTATGCCATGCTAACGCCAACAAAACACTTGTAATATCTTGTAATACCTCTCGACCAAACGCTTCATGCCAGCCCAGAGCGCATGGTGTACACCCAGCCCCAGCAGGAGCATCGAAGGGCTGGGGGATGTAGGACCAGCTGGGCGGCCCAGCGAAGCAAGGGCAACCTGTCAGACCCTTCAGACGGGAGGTACATCGCTTTTGCATGTCTCAGAGCCGAGCGGTCGGGTTTTGGGCAGTAACATGAGAGATTCGTTCCCAGGAATCCGAGGAGACATTCATTAAGACGCGTGATCTGTTTTTTTTTTCTGGTTCGACACTGTCGAAGGACGGAAGGATTGCTGATAATAGCAGGTTAATTAGGGAGCTGTTTAACCCTATTTTTTTGGTAGCAGGGCAAGTGGAAGTATGTGAACACATTTGTCAGTGCTGCAGTACCAAGTGAGGTGGTGATTGCAGTCTTCGCTGTGCTCAATGACACTTGGCCTAAAGCGAGTTGGCACCAGTCGTTCAAACAAGAAAAGAGGTGCCAACTTCAAACGTCCCCCCACAACTCTCTCTTGCGCATGCTTGCGCCACCATTGGTCCCAGATGGACGTGGCGTCATCCATTCACTGCTTGTTGCCTGTGTTCTGTTTTGCTTCGCCGTTGGCGGTGGAGGGATGTGGGTCGTTTCTCGCCCGCCCTCCACACCTTCGGCCCCGGCGCCATGGCGAGCCAGTGCCATGCAGCGGAATGGTGGCTCCTTAGGAGCAAAGCGATGGTGGATCGGAAGGAGATTGGTAAACCCCCTCTAAGAATCTTCTGGAAATTCGTGTCACATGAAGTTTCGCTGCGCACACCTCATGTGTCCTTCTTAGCGGCTGATTTGCTGTTTCATGGGCTTTGAAGAGCCATGGCGAGTGACACAGGTTCGGTGGTTCGACCCACCCACCGAACTAGCCGAAACGAAACGAAACGGATGGTGGGACAGGAGCCCTATAGAGTCATCATACCCTGAGGATCCAAAGTTAGCTCTATATGCTAACATTTGGGGTTGTGCCTTCTGAGGCTCTCCGACCTCGTTTTTTGAGGTCCGACCTCAAAAAATGAGATCATCCAGAACCCAAAAACCACAAAACCACAAAACCCAAAACCACAAAACCCAAACCAGCCCATCCACGACGACCCACGACGCTCGAACGCACGATCGACGACGCGATCGGGCGCTCGAGACGATCGCGCGCGCGCGCATCGCAACGTGCGGTCCACGCCGCAACATTGTCACCTTCTCTGGCGGCTGCAGTTGGGGTCAACCGCCACTTGGCTTTGAAGCAGCCGGCCGGTGGCACAAGTTTGGAGTGAGCCCCTGCGGATTGGTTATGTATTTTGGAGATGTTTGGAGAGATCTTTATTGTTGGCATGGTATACTGTGGTGGTATAACTGCATGAACTCAACTATGTGGTGGAGCTTTGCTACACACTATTCACCCTTCATCGCTTGGGCTCCAGGACCCCAAACGCAACAGCCATCGGCACAGAATTCTGAATTCCATCAGGGGGCCCCTGTGCACACACTGTGCCAGTTTCTTTGTCAATCCAATGTGATCTTCATCCACATAACAGTGGTTGAAGCGCTGGTTGAAGCCCCACCATGCATGCTCTTCATTCACGTGAACGAAGCAGTGTAGTTTGGGCTGGAGCTTCCACCTCTGATGCCCTTGCAACAAAGCAATCAAGGCCAACCTCTCCACAGTCGCCACGAACTTGCGGCCCACCATATAGAGGCCAGCTCTTTGATTCAAATCCAGATACCGACCAGCCCTCTCCAGCATGTCGAACCACCCACATAGTGCTCGAATTCCCACGCATGCGTTGACGAGTTCGACATCTCGTGGGTGGTCCTCCAAGCAAGTGTGACAACATCGGTCTAAGAAGATCAACATGAGCCTGCCATTGTAAGCTTTGCAAGTCAAGCTCGGGTAGCCATTTGCAACAGAAAGCACGCCCTGCGTGATATATCCCTGACTGTGCCTTAGATTGCATGGTCAGAAGATGCATCCATCACATCTTTGAGTTTAAGTACTAAAACTCATGAACTAGCAGAACCAACAGCTGTCCAGAGACCAACAAAACACTATATACCCCTACTGGAGGTGCATGTATAGTGATATCGTTTTTTGATGGTCTCTGAACCTCTGTTGGGAAATATCGTAAATAGAATATCGAGCCACCCAAGCCGGTTGACACGGGCCCATGCTCGGAATCTGGAAGACATGATTCGCAGGGAATCATCAAGAGATCCATGTCCGAAGAATCCTTGGGACTCCACTCCACCCACTTTAGGTTGTATTGTTTTGGTCAACACATTGGGACCAGTTGGGAAACACACACCAAAAAGTACTTAAGTAGCTGAGCTTCCTTTGCAGCAAAGTAGAGCCACTATGGATCCATTGAAAGAACAAAGGATTCCCAGATTCACCAGGTGCATGGTACACCAGCGGATCTGTTTGGGCGAGAACCCAGGCACAGTGAAGAGGGGATGCTCATACCTAGCAGGGGTTGCAACCTTTGTCAATTTAGCATTCCCATATGTTTCTTATTAATGTGCATGTAGTGTGTTTGACAACACCCCTGCCTGAAACATCGGGCCACTGCATTGGGGGTGGTCCTTCTTGCAAACGTTCTTCCAAGACGTGTCCACCTCAACATACCGATCGGCTGGAACCAAGCATAACAAGACCTACTCCAGTACTATATACTTATGTTCGAACATCAAAACACAACATGTGAAAACATATCAAATTCATCGAGGTACCTGTTGAGTACAGCCCCCCCCTTCACGGCATTGCAAACATGGCAGATCTCTGCCGCCCCCCAGTGGCACTTTAGGCCAAATGCCTCACGCTGCCACTTCAGATCCCCTCTGTACTCCACCACGTATGCTTTGCCACCTGAGGGGAGCCCACCAGAGCCCCAGCAGGTGCATTGAGGGAACCAACAGGATGGGCAATGGCGATGTGTTGCCGGGTGTTGAAGGGTCTTGGAGGATGAGACGTGTTTTCATGCAACACATCAACCCAAAACCCATGTTTACTATGTACATGTGGTTTGTCAAACCAGAAGAACGATTCCACACCTGCAATGGGCTTTCCCTGGTTCTTTGCATGGATCACTGGCAGTGGTTTGCCTTCAAAGTCAACTTGTGGATGAACACCCGCTGCTAAAGCCTAGGTGTCGATGTGAACACTAGATGGTTCACGCTAGAAGTACCTAGTGAACCACACACAAAAAAGAGTTTATTAAAAAAAACAGCCCGATAACCATGATTGAGAAACTTGGAGACTCCAAGCGATGACAGAATAGATCCGCTTGAGAGTGTAGTCTGGAATTGCCAGAGAACATCGGAGCACGCAAATTGGAAAGCGTGACAACTCCAAACCTGAGAGATGGCCGGTCTGGCGACAGAGTTCTCAAGAATATCTAGATTTGGAGAGATGCACATGATTGGGACCTCAGGGTCCTTGCAACTGCTGATGCTGATCATCGGCGTTGCTCTCACAGGCTCACAGTCCTTGTTGAAGGCAAACTCCAACCAGAACAGTTGTGGCAGGACACATGCATGATGCAAGAACATGGTCAAGATACGACGAAAGGCGCATCCTGTGTTCTACGGGTGCTTCATACAGGCACCAACGCATCCGCCACATGCATGGCAGGCCAACGATCCGCCGCATGACAGGCCTAATGCATCAGTGCAGCGACAGAGGTGATCCTGATGGATGAAGCGAACTACACTATTGTCCCAGATCTCAAATGACGAAAGCGAAGCCCTGTAGCTCCGTCCCTGGATGGCGGTCGAAGTGTGAAGAAAAGGTGAGCAAGATGTGAAGAGAAGATGTGAAGAAAAGGTGAGCAAGATGTGAAGAGAAGATGTGAAGAGAAGATGAGCAAGATGTAAAGAACCTGATAAAATGTTCAAAATCAAAACCGAAGAACCAAAACATCTGGATGTAGCGCTACATGACACTGCATCAACAAACTCTATTCGATCTGATGTTCATCCCCACATATTACACATCACGATTCGTCCCCAGTAGTTCGCTCCCACAAGCACTATACACCTCGCCCTGTAGCTCCGTCCATGCAATATCGCCCCAGCTATATGCTCAAATGTAGATTTTAAAAACCAGCGACAAGTCACTGGTGCTCTCTTCCAACACTGCATTCCACGTGATGGAGATCAACTTCTCTCCACTCTTGTTGTAGCGACAATCATCCCCGTAAAGGCCAATCACATTGTGCCCAACCCCAGGATGATCAGCATCCAGCCAGCCAACCTTGGCATGATGCCAGTAAAGTGCCAGCTCCTGCCGATCCACTCGTAGTTTGCCCGATTCCTGATGAAGCCAGAGTGCTCAATCCCTATACTGTAGTACCGAAAGCTAGTGTATTATGCAGATCAAAAACTAGCGTCTGATCCACTCGTAGTTTTCCCAATTTCTGGAGAAGCAAGGGTGGTCAATCCCTAGCTGTAATACCAAAAGCTAAATCAAAAACTAGCGTGCATGCAAGGCCCCTCTGATCGAGAAAAAGCTAGCATATCCAAAACATGTGTGCAGTCACTCCCCATCTGATCGAGCCCATAAAAATCATCTACACCACAATAACACAAAATCAAGCTAGCGTGTATGCAATGAGGCCTCGTCTATATAGCTGGCATGCTTTTCCTTATCAGAAAAGTGCTCGAATATATTTGCTCGTCCAAGCGTCGTAGAGGAAATGGTACATCTCATGAGGCAACAAAAGTGGTATGCGCGGCAAAATGATCTTGTCTCTGTAGACATTTTCCTTTACAGGCACCTCAACAAAATATGGCGACACTGGCAGCTTCAACAAGCGAAATAGATCTCGTTCGATGTTGTTGGGAAATTTTCCATGAGCGCCAAGCGAAGCCAGCTTCTTTGTTAATGTACTGACACGACCTCCATATGCCTAGATGGGGTTCAGTAGGCCGAAGCCCACCTGACCATTTATGACCAGAGACCCCATAGAAGAGATTTTTTTGGGTAGTGTTTCAAAATACAATTTCCAAAAAGTAAAAACCATCCAGGTCGGTGACACAGGATCTTTTTTGTGTTTCGGCGTCCGTCCTCCACCTCTTCCACACAGGCTGATGCAGCCCGTTGCAGCTCTGCGCACGAAGTTGCCTCTGGCAGCCCGGACACTTTGGCCACTATATGGATGGGTTGGAATGGAAAGGCATTGGTGAGATGTCAAGGAACAGTGTCAAATAATGGTTTTGCTTATTGTACCGCCTTTTTGAGGAACCAGGAAGGGTTTCCGGATGTTCTTTTTTTCGGAGACCGAGGTTGTTTGGGCAAAGCCTCCTTCATGATCAATCTTGATGTTAAACATATATTTCATGGTCAGTTTTATCTCAATTGTGTACATGATTCCAGCTGTTTTAGTGGACTCGAACCTCTCTTGGATGGTCGAAGTATCAAAATGCGAACCAACTAGAAGTACATATTAGTTTTGATTCCACTCCTTTGGATTCAAGCCACAAACACAACTGAGGCATATATTGATAGGCTCACCTGGTGATATCCCTTCCACGACAATCAGAAATGGACGAGTGACACCACGGCCCAAAGTGCACAGCAAGTAGTCAGCGAAGCTGTGCTGACCTGCGCATGGGGCAGACAATTGTAGAAGAGTGTACTGTCAATGACACCCTGAATCCTGGAGTCACACCTTCATACCCTCCCAGAGGTTGGGTAGTTTGATTTTCTTCTAGTCAGTAATTGTGGTGTGTCGAATGTTGTTGGGGATGGGCATTACCAAGATCTCTAGAGCTTGCCCCAAACATCAGCGGTTCTCCTCGTGGATGGTTGTTGATACAACATGTACGATCGATCGATGGTAGCGATTGTACTCCAACATGTCTCCACGCAAATCCCTTCCAAATCCCAACCATGTTATTTCCTTTCCGAGCTGACCAGATCGATTCCCGCGGCGGCCCAATCCTCTAATACTTCAGTATTTAGATCAAAAATGATCTGTACTCAAGCACACTGACAACACTGTTCGACTCTTCAACAGTATGTGTATACATCGATCTAGCTTGAACGGCTAGTGCGCTTGAGACACCCAGTGCACAGAGGAACTCCACAGGTTCTATCGAGATCTTGATTCAGCGCTTCAGCCGGTGCAACTGACATACAGGTTGGTTTAGTCTTCCAAAGTCACCACTAACACGAATATGCATATATAGAGAATCATCAAAATTATACAAAAAGGGTGTCCAACATAGTCTAACAGATATATATAAATATTACTTGATTATGTTGATATACACAGGCCCATGTCAATGCCAAAACTGCTGAAAGATCAAAGCTTATGGCTTTGCCTGTATGGCTATGCCTTTGCTTTTGCCAAAGCCTTTGACTTTGGAACAGCAACATGTTTCCGCACCTGCAATGATGCAGTCTTGTACGATTCATTCATTTGATCGCACTTCTCGCGATGCACTAGCAAATCAGTGCCGCTCGACAGGGCCGATTCCAATGCAGCCTTGGCTGCTCGGAGCGACTTCCCTTCCTCCTCCATTTGGGCCACAAAGGCATCTCTGATCAAGGTCCCAACACCGGCATTAGAAAGCTTGTAGTTCCACTGCGAGATTTCGAGGAGGTTGGCATTGATCTTGACCAGTGCCTCAGATACCAGTATAGCGCCCCATTTGGAACCCATGCTAAGTTGTCCACAGAACCAATATAGAAACAAAAACAAAATATTTATGGGAATGTCTCAAAATAGGGGCGCCCGAACGTTTATTTTTTGAACTAACATGTACAGATTTGGGGCGCCCATATAGGCACCCCTATTTTGAGACATCCCCATATTAATATGATTAGCAAAATTAAAGCTACAGCTCGCGCCATCTGTTCTTCTGTCTTGGGTTTCGCTGACTTCCTCTTGGGATCAGCGGGGGCATTCTCCCCGCCCTTGTTCTTGTTCTTGCCCTTGTTCCTGCCCTTGCCGCCATTGCCACCACTCGGTGCACCACCCCCACCACCAGCTGGAGAACCGCCGGTATTCCCTGAGTGCTGCCCGTCAGCCTCCCGAATCACTCTGGCAGACCTGGAGCTAATATGTTCCGTCTCTTCAACATCCTCCACCCAGCAACGATACAGCCGCATGTCCTAATCGTTGAATCAATCCAAATGAACAAAACAGAAACACAAATTAATGAACAAAGCATAAACAAGGCTTACCATAATTCATCAAGCCAGTGGCTTCACGCCCAGGAAACTCAGGATGGTCTTTCCAATCACCAGAGACCAGCTTACCAGTGATCAACTCCTGGACCAAGGCTGCATTCTGATGATACTTGACCATCAAATCCTCAGAATCAAATGCCTTCAAAAGAACATTGCTTGTGCCAGGTAAGTACACTGGCAAAAGACACGCGCACAGATTTTAAAAAACAAAACATACTATTTCAGCTCACCATGAGTCCATCTTAGTCAGCCACTTGTAAGTGCCCCGGGTTTGCTCCCTCTCAGTGTTCTCCGTGGAAATCACCAAGACGGATGACATCCAGTCCTCGTTGCACTCAATGTATTGGCTGAACAGAGCACGCATTGACCTCCCTGTGCGGTCCTGGGATGCCTCCATGAACTTCCTTGGAACTAGTGATGCCAGAACCGCATTTGGAAAAAACACATTAAAAAAACCATTTGCACCCCACACATATCACCAAAGCTACTAGTCGAGATTAAGGGTCTCAGTCACTTCTGGCGGTGCCTTGACAGACCTGACACTCCGATAGAACCGCATGTACGCTGCCCTAGCCTCTCGGATGTCATCGGCTGATGGCTCTGCTTGCTGTGCTGGTTCTGCTGCAGCTGCTGGTGCTGTTGCCTGCAGTGGTGCTGTCACACCTGGCTCTGCAGATCCTGCATCCGACTGCACTGCACCGGGTGGTGCTGGGTTTGCCTCCACCTGTGCTGCAACAGGTGGTGTGGACTTTGGCATAGGTGCCGGCCCAGGTGGCATGAGCTGCGGGCTTGCTTCCACTGCTGCTGCCGTTGGTGGCGGAGTGGCTGCAGGGCTTGCTGATGCTGGTAGCTGCGGGCTTGCTTCCACTGCTGCTGCCGTTGGTGGCGGGGGGGCTGCAGGGCTTGCTGATGCTGGTGCATGGGCTGTAGCAGCCTCGGATCCTGTTGGTTCCACAGGTGGTGGTGCTACACTCTTTGGGCCAGCAGAGACTGGTGCTGGAGAGGGCACATACGATGGTGTTGGGCTTGATAGCATCGAGAACTCATCAGTGCTCTTCCTCCGAATCGCCGACCAAAAGGCTTTGGCCGCATCAGCAGTGACAGGAGCAAAGGTGACTTTGTCATCTGCAAGTGCCACTGGCGGAGCTTTTGCCTTGGCCTTTGGCATTGGGCTTGTCTGGAAAGGCTGGCTGCTGCAAGCATGCACTGGTGATGGTTGGATTGCCAGTGGCGGTGGTGATGCCTCCATCGGGGTTGGAACAGCACTGGGTGATGGATCGATGATCACAATTGGTGACACTGGCTGGTTTGGACATGGTGTTTCTTCTTGCTGGCTGTTCTCCACTGGTAGTGTCACAACTGGCTGGCTGTCATCGACCAACATTGGCTCCACCCTCTCAACGACTGGTGCCATTGACATGGCAGCTGGACTTGGATCCGGTTGGCTTGTCTCAACCGCAGGTGCCATCGGCATTGCAGCTGGACTTGGATCAGGCTGGCTGGTCTCAACCACGATCACGGACTGGCTGGTCTCAACGACAGGTGCCATCGGCATGGCAGCTGGACTTGGATCCAGCTGGGTGGCCTCTACCACAGGTGCCATCGGCATGGCGGCTGGACTTGGCCTGGTGCCTGGCTGTTGGCAGACATCACTGGGGGATTCCATGGGCATGGTGGCTTGCTGGCTGTCCTCAACCAATGGCGGTTCCATTGGCATGGCGACTGGCTGGCTGTCATCAACCATTAGTGTTGATGAATACTCCATCGTCTGCTGGCTTCTCAAAAGTGCCTCATCCAGTGTTTGCTGGTCATCAAGTTCTTCTTGAATCTCCGCTGGAATCACCTGTGGTACCGGCACTGGTGGCAGAACAAGACGTTTGGTTTGCGGTGTAGCCTGCGACTTCACCACACCATGGGGCACCACAGCAAGATCCTGATCATACAAAAATACGATCACAGCTGGTAATGCAGCCAGGATAAACTAATGATTGTGCGCCTGTGAATAGAAATCTATATAATTGATATATATATATAGCTTTGGCAAAATAAATCAAAATAATGGCACAATATACTTAAGCAACCAACCAGGTTCAACACCAGCAGTGGCATCATCATCCACATCATCGAAGTTCAGCGCACGCGGATCTAATGAATCTGAAGATTCCACCAGTGGCCTCCTTGGTTTTAGTCATGTAGGCATGTCCGGCCCCAAGTGAAATTCATAAACATAAAAATAAAAGAATTACAAAATGAAATCAAAGCCTAGTTTCTTGGATTCTGGTGTCACTTTGGTGGACTTAGTTGGAGTTGGCCTAGACCGCTTATCCAACCCAGCCCCTGTCACCTGCGCTGCAACCTTCTTGCGTCTCTCAGCAGCTTCAAGGGCCAACTGAGCCGCCTTCCAGGGAATATAGCTTATCCAAAAAAAATATCGATGTGAACGAAATTTCCCCTGATAACTCACCATATTGTTCACCACATTGTATGTCAATAAGGTTGATTTGTTTAGCTATACTGTTTTTTTGCTCCCACGCCTTCACAAACGTACGGTGATCCGAGGATGACATCAGCGGGTCACGCGAGCGACTGGATGTGTGGCTTGCTTGGGCACGGAAACAGGCTTCCGGCGTGTGTTTTTCTCGATAGGTCACGGGTCCTGAGCGGGTCCTGTACCCAACGATCGAACCAGGTTCCCAAAGGGCCCACCCAGACCCCAATCACGGTCCGTCACGGGTTGTCACGCTGGAGTCCGACAACGACCTCATTTTTAATTGGAAAAAATAGATAAATCACGCTCTGTCACGGTCTGTCACGGTTCGTCACGCCCTGGTACCTGTTCCTCACCTTTGTCACGGATACCCACCCAATCCACAATGTTCTTCGAGGGAGTGGTTTTACTAGATCTTAAAGCTTATACGATAGCTATATTCACTTCAAATCCCTGGTGCTGATACCATCCAGATGGTTTAGACAGACTCAAAGTGGTTCCGACTCACGATCCGAGCATCCAGTGGCTATATTGGACTTCAGCCCTCCTGTTTGGATACAATCTCACTGGTTTCCACATGGTTCTTAGTTGAACACATCACTAATTCAAGAATCTGTGATGCGTTTCCATATATATGCATATATATTGTCGCCACCTAGAAAAAAAGACAACACACACAATGAGCTTTACATGAACAAACATTATTGGCTTTTAAACAAATATGCATACCGGCACCGCCCATGTGCCCAAACGGATTTGTGTCCCCTGTAAGGACAGCCCAACCCACCCAAGCAGCTCCAGCACAAAAGTGCCTGATAGATTTCTTCTCGGACAAACAGCTTGCTATCCAGCTGGAAAAATGCAATGTTCAAATGCACCAGCTGAACTTGCAAAACTAGTAATTTCTCGATCGGTTTTTTTGTGAACCAATTTGGATACGTGATCTTTCACCAGATGAATTAATGAACTGCCTCAAAAAGGCAACGAGGGATCCGGATTGAATCGACCCCTCAATTGCTCCTCCTTTAAGAAGGCCTCCAATGCAGGCAGATCAGCATGCTTCCACAGCAAAGGCATCTCCTTAGGTGCGGGTTGAGGAACATCCACGTTAACTACCCGGCTTTAAAAACACCTACATTATTAATGTAGTCTTGTCCTGTTCTCTATTTTACTGACATGGTTGGAAAGACTTATCACTAGTACTTGTCGACTTATCCCAGACCCCTAGTGAAGTGAAGAGTAGGTGAGCAAGATGTGAAGAAAAGGTGAGCAAGACATGAACAAAAAAAGGTGAGCAAGGACTGCAATGACAAAGGGAGCAGCATCAAACTTGCCAGGCCGACCTCCAGACTCACAAGACAAGCAGAAGGGAAGGACTGTGGCCGAGACGGAGACACAGCAATACAGCTGCTGGTCGCAAATGCTCCTGTGGCCCTGAGAAAGGCTGCATAGTTTCCTTCATCCAGATCATGACGGGTATGCAGGAGGCACCTGGAACTTCCAGTCAGATCGACGATCTGAAATGGCCCGCCTTCGGAAGAGCTACACGCCTTACCTGCAGACTGTGTTGATGCTGCACATCACTGGTGCGAGTTTGACGCGCACCTGAACCAGTGCAAGCACTTCACACTTGACCTCAAACTGCCATTGAGCATGGCACTCGGATTGAACCAACCAAGCGAGATCAAAGTCCTGTTCGATTGCCATGAATGAAGGTCCAGAGAGACCAGAGATGAAATGCACATGTGAAGATGTATCCCCTATATGCTAGCAAAACACAAACACATTCTACCCCAGAAACATAATTTCCACAACCCGCATTGAAGCCCACTAGAACAACAGAAGCACTTTCACAATTTGTCACACAGACACTTAATACAATTATATATTAGAAGCTCAGATGAACACAAGTTCAGTTGAAGTTTCTGCAGGCTAGCCCTTTACTGTGGAAATTAAACGGCCAAGATTCAATATTCGATAAATATTCGATAAACGCCAAGATTCAAAACGGCCATACTTCTGAAGCACTGCATGCCGAGCATTGTACCACTTCTGTGCAGTTACCTTAGCCCGATAATCATACAGTATGGCACACAATACCCGATATAGAATCTCCCCCCAGCACAAATAGATATAAACCACAATAATGAGCTGGGATACAGATCTTCTCTTCAGAAGTTTGGCAACATGCTTTCCAAACCCAGGAGCATATGCACCAGAAGATTTGAGACGTGGCCCCCCAGTGACTCTCACACGGCCATCAGGAAGAACCTCCTTCTTGTACATGCCCTTTGAAGCTTTAGATAGGTGCTCCCGTAGATCTTTGGACACTTTTGCTGTAAAGGTCTCCACATTCGGCCTCAGATAATCTAGATCTAAAGCCTATAACATCTTTGCAAGATCTAGATTTTACACCTGCACACATACATCCGAAAAAACACTTTAAAAAATACTACACTACACACAACAGAGTGTGCTCAAGAACAAGCAGCCATGAACCAAATAGTTGGCTCGGTTTAATGCACCAATGGCCATATGCACCCATGGACATCCTCTTGAGGTAGTGAGGCCCCATGCTCGTCAACACATGGCTGATGTAAGGTGAATCCTTCAGCACGCTAGATCCCGGTTGTTCAGCCTCACTGCAGCCGCTAAATATAGAAAATATATATATAATTAAGAACACGACTGAAATAAATAACCTATAATGGATAACCAAATTGTGCAAAGAAAAATCTTTATTATAATGTTAACAACCAGTAGCACACCAATAGATCCCCCCGGACGATGGCCACCATAATCAACAAAGCACACCTTGCTGAGATGCAGTTGCCCATGGATACACTGGGGATTCGATCATCACCCAATATGCCAAACTCTGATGAATGTCTCTTGGTCGTCGATGAGGCGATCCACACCCAACTTAGTTTATGCAATCACATCGGTATCAATAGGAACTCTTCCCCACTTTTGAACAACTAGCTTACTACACAAATATGAACATCAACACGTACTTATAGTACACCCAAGCCACCTATTGCAGGGCACCCCTAGCCAGTACAGGCCATCATAGCGAACCCGCAACACCTGCTTTAATGCGAGCAAGAACCCCTCACTTGTGGTGAGGTCGTGCAGAGGCCCTTTTGTCAGGTCGGATGTTCGGACGTCAAAGCCGGCTTTTCCTCGGATGTTGGGAATGGGCATCAACCCTGAATGTCAAGAAATGCCAACAGACCCTAAAAGGCAATTTTGGGCGCGACCTTTTTTTAACATGTTTAGAAGCTTTTTAGACATAAGAAAGGTTGCGTTCAAAGATTGTCTTTTAGGGTTTGTTGGCTCATGTTGGTGCACTGGATCATGATTTGCATTCCCATACTTAATTAAAAAAACATGTCATTTCACAATAAAAGCAGTAGATCTTACAGCATTGGATACCCAAGCGACTGCACTGGTTGGCCAATTCCCCACAACCAGAAAAGTGCTCGAAGAGATCAAGGTCCTAGAGGGAGCCACACGTGCAGGATTCAGGGATTGTTTCTTCAGCGTCCTTTTGAGGTCAGCGTTTCCAAAACCATCCCTGACAAAATTTAGATTGTGTGGGCCATGAACCATCAACCAAAACCCTGTCCCGGGACCACTGTGCATTTGCTGCAGTCATCGATTGGGAAACATAGTCCCAGCAGTGCAGCCTCAGGTGTAGACGGGTACTGGCGGTATGAATCTCAAATCCTTCAACAATACTAAATATACAGAAAATAAATTCAACAATATGTTTTAAATTTAGACTGGTAGCAGAAGTATTGGTGCACCATAGAACATCAGAAGGGAAGCTTTTCGCTTTGTCAAATCGAAAGCCATTGCCCACTTTGGGACCACAGGTCTTTGGTAGGGATGGGCCCTGGAGAACAGCGCTGTCAGCTTGAACCCCATGCATGAAGTACAGAACCATGAACAACATTCCGTATCATGAGATCATGTTTGCAGAGCCACCAGTACAATATTGGCCACCATGCCCTAAAGTTTCTCCACATCATTATGGAACATCAGGATTCTCTACAACACTGTGACACATGTCAGTGCAATGATGCAAAAGACTAGCAAGTACAGCCGATCTGACTATCAACATCCCAGTGTCGGGGTTGACGCTCATCTTTTTTTGCAATTCACCAGTAACCCATCCAGCTTTTCAGCCAGTCCCTTTTAAATGTTCGATCTGTTGAATATTTAAAAACTCTAAACATGCAAATTAGCTATAGCTAAACATATTGCTGGATTGGTTTGGTTTTCCTATGCACACCCCAAATGGTTGGGAATGGCTGATCCTATCTGAATGGGTTTCTACTTCGATCTCAACCTACTCAATCCACCCAGCAGTGCGCTGAGCTAAAACATATGCCGGAAGCCATCCTCCACGCTTACGTACTGAGATAGTCAGGCCATTCTTCTTGTTGGGAACACACCCATCCGGAGCAGCAGGGTGGGACCAGCACCTTTGTGACATAGATTTGATCCAAGGTCCACCTCAAACGGATCGGAGATAAATTCATTACAGTTGACCACAATACATCCCCTGACAAAAAAAAATAGAATCTTCGGGATTTCCAAATTCAAAGAAAATCAACATCAACACTGCACCCAACGACCCATGACTGGCAATTTTCCGCTTGGTTTCAGCCTTAGAGCTGGCCATTTTCCTCTTGGGTTGGCCAAGGACGGGGCCCAGATGAACACCGATTTGGGGCCCGCATTTCTTGCATCATGGCCCCGTCCTTGGCCAACCCAAGAGGGACATTGCCACTTAGAGCTGGGCGAATTTATCAGTATCGACAAGTGACCTGAAGACCGCTTTTAAAACCTAAAAAACATATCCCCAGGACACTTGTTACAAGTAAACCCAAAGTGGAAAATTACCACCCATGACTATGCATAAAGAAAACAAAAAGAACTCATGATTTCATGTACAAGCTACAGAATTCCAATTGTGCTGGCCCCCCTCTTTGGCTCCACTGGTCGGCTTCACGGTAAAGGATTTCTTGTTGGCGCCAGCCCCATCTGGCACAGGCACGCCACTTTCGCGAAGATCGATCTCCTCCAGGATGAGGGCGCTCAGCCGCTTTATCTATATAATATGGTGGGCATCGAATGCACTTCCATGACGACCGATCGATTTTAACAATCAAGAACAAATTGGGACTGAGATGTTGCATCCTATGCATATTAAGCACTGGTACCTTCATACAGTTTAGGTCGAGTCATGCAGCAACAATCTACAATCAATCCTTGGCATTCCACATTGCAACCAGCTCAGGGTCTGGACCCTTCCCAGTTGCAGCACCAGTAGTCGGAGCAGGATCATCATGAGAAAGCATGGGAGCATTGGATGGAGCACTTGGTTCATCCCTGCAACCAGCTCCCTGGTCAGCCGGTTCGGATGCTCCGCGGCCTCGCCCCCGACCACGTCCCCGACCACGTCCGGGCTTCTTTTGGATAGTCTTGGCCACCTTGGGATCTGCATTGGCCTTCTTCAAGAGATCCTCAGCAGGGAAAACATATAGTTTGCCGGTTTCTAATATTATTGAACCTGTTGAAGCTAGACAAATCCACAATGTTCAACATGTATGCCCATTGCATTCTGAACTGGGATGCACATAACTATATAGATTTCTGTTATGTACATGTTTATTCATGGTCATTTTGGTTTGGAACAGCCTCCTAGTGGTTGTGATTGTCTAGACGCACCTACTGGTGAAGAAAAAGGGTCTGTTGGATCTACACCTCCACCCATGTCCTCGGCCGTTTGAACCTTAGCAGCCTTGGTCGTTGCCAGCTGCGCCTTATGTAGATCATCTGGCGCCTCCACATGTGAACCACATTTTTCCACAAAGAGCTCTGCTGCAAGTGCATCGACAGCTGCACTCTGCACTGGTGGTTCCACCTCCAATGGATCCCGGTCCTATACCACACAGCACATGTTAAGGAACTATGCTGTCCATGCACGAGCAGTAGCAGCAGGACAAAGGGCAAAGAGGTAATCAAATTATCCAGCCCCACCCCCCCCACCCATCCCAGGTGTCAGTAGAACTGAAGCAATATTGACAACTGGCCTTCTTGATGGGTTTTACTTCATGGACTTACAAATCACTTATCCCACCCATCATTTGATCAAGAACTACCAAAAAAAACAAAACCCTACTCGAACACAAAAGTTGAACTATATATTAAGCTATTCCTTGACAATGCATGATCATTTCGATTCAATTTGAGTCGGACGTCCTTCTCAGCTTGACGCCGTGCACCATCTGCATGCATGGCATGCCCCGCCACAGGAGGAACTTCTGAAGCTGCACCCTCGAGAATGTTCTGCACCTGGGCCTCAATCTGGGTCTCCATGTCGTCAGGGGAGATCTGCAGGGTTTCAGAAAAGAAAAATCTGCACAAAAGTATAGCTAGCTACAGACATATATATATTATTTAAGTACTCTATTCACAGGCATTGCATTCAGACACAAAGACGGAACCATCTGGGGTCGGTCCCGACCGTCGCCCTGGGTGGAGAACAGGCCAGGGATAGCGCATGACACCTTAAAGCTCAGGAGTCCTGTGGTTATGGGTCAGCAACTCCAGTGGGATTGGGCTCCGTGATATATATATATATATAAATATATGCATGACACACTCATGTAGAGATTAGCTTTCCAACCTCGTAGGATTAGTGTCCCTCCAAGAAATCAAACATGACAAATGGTCATATTGCAAGCCCTTTTTTGGAACCTAGAGCCTTGGTCTTCATAGTGCCATTGCCCCTCTCCAATGGCGGTGCTGGTGAACAGGTCGAAGAGGGAGTAGCCACCGATGATTCATCGGCCCGACCAAGTGCAGCATCAAATGCTGCACCCACCTGTGACTCCGGGTCACCAGCACCTCCGGGAAGATGTTTGTGACTGAACTTCAATATACTTTCCCCAGAGGCATGAAATTAAACCTTCCCTCACACCAAATACTGACTATATATTTCTTGAACCCAATCCTGACTTGCGCTTCAAATCCAAGATGAAGGTCTTGAGGAAGCTGACCTTGGGTGACCTTGATGAAGTGGACCGCCGGCACAACAGCAGCGAATGCACCAGCATAGCCCGTACGGCGCCAGCTTCACGCCCAGACCACTCCTGAAGTCTAGATCTATATGGCTGGGGGGCTTCATTACTTGGACACGCTTTCCCAGATAAACACAATAAGAACATTTTGCTTTCTCACCCAATCCTTAATGTCGCGGCCCTTCACATTGACACCCAGCAAAGCATACCGTTTCGCCAAGGTCACCAGAACCTCCTGGCACAGGGGAGCTGCTGAGGGGGAGAGGGCCAAAGGTTGCATGAATCAAAAAACTTCAACATCATCATGATCAAAAACAGCTACACACTTTGAAATTAACACCAAACCTGGTGCATCTTCACCCCCGGAATGTACAGATCCAGCGTAGCCATGTAGTTGAGGATGAACTCCCAATGCATCTCAACCTATAGGTTCTTGAGATCAGGACCCTCACCTACGTCTATAGTCAAGATGAAACGAGGTTCAGTGAAACTGTTCCCAATTGCAAGGAAGTTTCTAGTTACTGACAAACCATGACCACACATAGAAAAAATATATATGACCTCAGGATGTCACCAAAATGAAAAACTAACAAAACCAGACCAGAACTCATGAGATCAGACACCATCTCGACCGACGCGGGACCTGTCTCTGGCTTCTCAAAAAGAGCATGGTCCACCGAGCGCCGCAAACACTCCAGCTTTGTTAGGACAAACTCGTTCAAGAGGTCCTGGTGGGGAAGGGTTGAGAGGCACCAACTCAGTTCTTCCCTCGATCCAAAGTATAATAATGTTTCAAACAATAGTTCTGCACAAGATTTTGGATGGAAAACCAATCCTCCAGCAGAACCTTCACTCGATCTTTTGCAGTGGCCATTGCACTGAAGTCAAGCTAAGCGTCACCCTTTCAAGGCCTGCTCCAATCCAAAATCTGCAGTATGCACACACAGTGCTTGATACCAGTCGAAGGGGAAGATGCAAACACAGTGGGACACTTTATCCAGGTGTGATTCAAACAGAAAAGTCATGAAGCACTTTGGTGGATCCATATGCATGAAATCCATTTGATGGTGAACCAAACAGGTGGATAATTCTGTAATGCTTTGCCTCTGGGCCACATTGTGCTCATGCCCCTCAGGGCCCCAGAATTTCAGTGCACATGGCTCAATCACCAACGACTCCGAAGATTCCACCGCTGGCCTCATCCAAAGATTTCACTGTTACATGTTTAACCCTGACGATCCAAGACCACACATAGATCCATGACCACCTAGTATTTTTAGAAATGACCTCAGGATTTTATATACCTATATGGAGTGACCTCAGGCTTTGTGATGACACCAAGCTACCCATCGATGCCAAACGATACCCCTATGGTTCCTATCCAGGTGGTTAATGAACCTGAACCCTGAAATCCATCAAGCGACCCCAATCAACACCAGTGGATTGTCCACACCCACATCCTGTCCCACCCAATCACGATCGACGACGCTCGGACGCAGTGTGGGGGGGAGGGTACCTCCCCAGTGGGCCGTGAGCGAAGTCGGCGCCACCACTCGTTCAGCTGGTTGTGCAGCTGGTTGTGCTTGTTGTTGAGCAGCTCTTCGGCGTTGCTCACGATGTAGCGCTATGGCGCGCTTCATCGATCGATCGAATGAACCCCTGTGTAAAATGTACATGTCTTTGATCATGTGTGTTTCTTGCCTCATGCGTGTGTGATCACATGTGAAGTCACATGGATTCGGTCACAACATATGCAATATGGTTGATCAGCATGACCATCACCCTACCTCTACATGGCCGCAGCCTGTGATCACGCATACATGATGTCACCAAGGCTCGATTTCAAAAGCCCATCGACGCCGATCGATACCCTACAGGTTGGTTCTTGTGATTTCATGGTCTTATCCTCCGACAATGATACTGGAATTGTATATACATTTCAGGTACCCCAATCTGTGATTCGACAACGTCTTCAAATAACACGATCAATAGACATGTATAGCAAATCCTGGGATCATTTCTATTTGTGACCTATGTGTGGTCATGGATCATCAGGGATATGTTGCTTTATCCTAAGAATCCGGGCCCGAACCAACACATATATAGGGTTTGGTTCGGGCCCTGACTCCAGCTATGGAGGGTCCGACCCCTGCCATGGAGCGCCAGTTCGGATTCTATAGGGTCAACGGGTCCGAGCTCGCAGCGACCACGGAAGTCTCCCCCCACCCCCCATGAGCCACCGTCCGCCGTCCACAGCCGGGACACTCGTTGTGCTTAAGAACGACGTGTGTAGGGAACTATTATGAACTATTTGTTTGTTTGTAGAGACATTCTGCGCGCGCAACCAAAAAACGGGACATTCTGCTCAATACTTTGGTCGTCCGAAAGAGCACCAAGTGTGGGAGGGTTGTGCCCTTAGCTTTTGGCCAAAGTCAGCTGGATTCGGAGCATCGTCCGCCAGCCCGGAGCAGAGCGAAACGTGGTGAATTCATGCAATGTCCTTCGTGATCCTTCGTGTTTGGTTAGAGCGCAAGGGAGAAAAAAACAGACTGCGTTGGCAGGGCTTCATTTTGCGATGTGTGTGTGAGAGAGACATGCCTACTGATGCTTGTGATACCTCTAGGGCAGTACCGCATTATTTACATATTTTCTATGGATGAGCAAAATAGCCTTGATGTAGACTGTCAATTGATGAAGCCCCCTAAATGAAATGCGTTAACTTATCATGCTTTAACGATAGATTAATCCAAAGAGGAGGGGTGTGATCAATCAACAGTTTACATTGTTCTTTTGGAGGTGCCTTTGGGCAGCTTGTAAGTGGCCAGGAGCTTCATGCTTTATGAGGTTGCACTGGCTCCCTTTGTTGAGTCAGATCGTCCAGTCCACATTGTTCATGCGGTGACCTTTGTGATCGCAGGCGCTAGCTGCTGTGGTCGCAGCGACGAGGTGCGGTGACCCGTGGGCGGGTGCAAAAAAATATTGTGTGAAAACACTGCAACATAACAAGTGTCAACAATTCCAGACCATCCATTGGACTAGAAGATATGCTTACATTGACCCCTTTTCACCCCAATGTAAACAAATCGACCATACAGGGATGATGGTTTGGGAATTAACTGTTGTTGAGTCTACCATAGTCATCTCTTAGTCGTCCCTTAAACTGATCCGCCATGCTTTGATGGCTCACCCTCAATATGTTATAGAATCATATTATAGTAATTAACTATTACCATCATCATCATCATCATCATCATCATCTACAGGTTGCCGTTCATCTTGAACTTGTGTTTGCTCCATTCATGGAGCTACTCTGAAATCTGGAACGACCAATGCAGTTCTACCACAGAACCCATTTAACTGCCTGAGAGCCTTTTGATGTGTGGCACGGCGACAAGAACAATAACAACTGTGCGGTTCTTGTCGAGAAGCAACGTGCGCCGTCGGTATTGAATATAGGTCGAGGTAGATGCCGAGGGTTGTGTCCACGTTCGAAGGACCAATGCCCCCACATTGATTGCAACGATTTCAGGATCGGATGCCTTCCAATATTGATTTTCGTTGGACATGTTTCGGCTCCAAACTGCGTTGGGAGGGCAGTGCAGCAGGCAGCAGTTGCCTATATATAGGTGCAGTGCAGCAGCAGGGCTGTCGATACATGATGGCCGAAGAGAAGAAGGATGTCGAAAGTGGATGCTTTGTTGCTGACGAGAATGAGGATGCGGCCGCGCACGAAGACCCTGAAGACAACGAGTTGCACTCCGACAAGGTGGCGACTCAGAAACAGAAAAGAGCTGGCATGATTGTATTGGGGAGTACTTGCATACTGTCATTTCTGGTGTCTGCCCTGCTTTTGGGTGTCGTTTTGCCTTATACCATGGACCAGGATGCTCGCGGAAGGTACTACATAAGTTCTGGAGGTGCTGGTGCTCTTGTTTGGGGTCTCATATGCCTTTCATTCTCTTGTCACGCCGGGGCAACTGCAGCAGAGCCACCCATGGCCATGAACAAGGCAAACACCGGAGAATTGACATTCCAGATTCAGCAACTGGAACAGGTCTTCGGGAAAATGCCCTCACTGTTTCGGCAGCTAGAATTTATGCTTGTGTTGGCTCGAGCTGCTGGAAATGTCGGGGTACTTGTCCTTTCAGCCTGGAGACTGCCACCAAGGGATCCCAAAGTACCTTGGAACTTGCCAAGGTACTGCCTGGCATGGTTCGAAGTGCCAGTGGCAGGTGTGCTGGGCAT